AAATGTTGTCATGCAAGACCGAGGACAGACCTGTCTCATCCCTGTAGGAGATGGAGGATGGTGCGAATAGAAAGACAGCCAAGATGGGATTATATTAGGGGGCCGGTTTACTAGACATGGATGAAGAATTTAGGCCTTGACTGTAACGTGTGCATTATAGTGGAGGTGTTCTTTGTCTTTTCTTTTTTAGAGCTTTCAGGTTCACAAGCAGGACCACATATATTCAGTTGATGGTGTGTCCATTGGATTATGGAGTCGAAATGGCCTCATCATATGTTCAAAGGTGATCGATGTGAAGCCATGGAGGCATTGAGCGGGGCTGCAAAACCAAGATGCGACGTGAAGGCTTGTGAAAAGAGGCAAATGTGTCATCACCAAAGGACACAGAGCCACAGTGGGACATTTAGTACCTCATGATTCTAGTATGTACGTTGCAGGGGAAGAGGAAGAGGAAGAGGAGGCGCTATTATCTGTACTTTACAAGTTTACATAAAGTCAGGGATTGAAAAAGTACGAGATACTCAGATAAAAGATATTCAAGTCAAATTAAAAGTAAGCATATTTAAGTAAAAATCTAGCCTACTAAGATAAAAAGTCAATTTTTCAAACATGCTCCTTCAGGCTACATAAGTCAAACTATAGTGCCACAATGCCCTCATGTCCAAACCAACAACATGCGTTACTTCTATAGATGGCACCCCGCAGCCAAGTGTCAACTATAATTACCGCCTTCCTTCGTATAGCCTCACCACTACCATTACCAGAAAAAGAGGACAAAACTCCAACAATTGAACAATGTTGACCAACACTGAATAATAGGAGCTAATAGTATAGCCGCTGCGTGTGCAACAAGCAATACAAGGCTACAGAAATGAAAAAGCCTGACACATAGACTCAACAGCCGGATGAAACATCACCAAAGCACACAGCACAGACATTAAGGCCAATAATATAACAATATCAACCCCGCAGCGGCTGCAGCCACAGCAAACACGCACATATCGAAGCAAATGAGTTCGCCGCAGGGAGTTACATGTCCTCACCTGCCTGAACTCGAGTCTTGAGCAACAAGTACGCCACAATCTGCTCCAGGTACAACTTTTCTGCTCCTTAGTCCTCCAGTCAGTCTCTATGTCCCACTTCGCTCCTCAAGTTCCCAAACATCTTGAGCTAAAGGCTCTGCAGTCCCAGCTGTTACTGTCAAGAGCAGCAGAAAGTCCCGACACAGCTCTCTAAACGTGAAGGATCCGCTGCTCGTATTTTAGCTGTAAGCATGTCAACGCTAGCGAGATGCATCTATTGATGACCCAGAGTGGGTGTGTTTGATTTGGGTAACTTGACGTGCTCGCCAGGTGGTGCAATAAATCAGTGAGTAATCAAGCTAGATGTAAGCTCTGCCCTCCTGCTGATAGCAGATGTATGGAGACGGGTTTGATTGCAGGTCCACATGGAACATTGGTTTATTACATGGATGTATACATGTTTATTTTGTAGAACAAAATAGCTACTAACTTTGTTTTTTTTGCCTTGTAACTTATTGCCCTATTGGTGTCAGTGAAACACTGGCTGCATTTGGTTACGATTTAATAATTGTTTTGTCAAATACTTAAATCATTTTATCATTACTGCACTGCCTGCCTGCAGCAATTTTCCAGAAGGCCAGACACGGAAACAATGTATGTAAAGTCATGAGAAAGTTTGATAAAAGTTCAAACTGCGGCATCTGAAATGTTACTTGATATACAAACCTGATGAAGGTTTTGGAGGACTAGAATGTATATGAATGCAAGTAGATGTGTGCCCTACAAAATACAACCTGGTTATATTTCAGACTTTATGTAGTTTGATGTTGTCGCTTCACTTATTTCTCACATAAGCAGAGTGGATCAGGTCTACTGTTTGTTATTTACAGCAGGATGAATTTAATAAGCTTGCTGTGTACATCTCATTTTAGAGTTTCAACTCTCAGTAAAGATTGAGACACTTCATGCACGACAAGACAAAGACCCTGTTTCTGTGGATTTGTTTGACAGATGTTACGTAGAAACATGCCTCCAGCACTAATAATAATGAACACAGAAACGGATACGTCAGTCACAGTCTTCTGCTCCCACACACAAAAGTGTGCCTTAATAGAAAAGTATAGACATGACTATAGCTGGGTGAACATGAAAACATGAATGCACACACTTACACCAAATAAAGCATGTTTTGCTATGCCACTTTTACTGTTGAAAACAAGAGCACTGAGAGCCATTTCATTTACATGCAAATTGACACCCACCGGTACGTGTGTTCATGTGGATGTGCGTGTGTGTGTGTGTGTGTGTGTGTGTGTGTGTGTGTGTGTGAGTATAGTGTAGCTGCTCTGCTGGCACTCAGTGAAGGTGCTTTTCTGTCCTGCTGCTTTTCCTGCTCGATGAAACTAGACACAAAGAGATAGAAAGACAGAGAAAGAGATAGAGGCTCTGATTTCATCTTCCCTATTCAGTTTAGCAGCTTTTTAGCTGGCGAAACCGCCATAAACAGGAGCCATCAAAGAGGCCCCATGCAGCCTGGTGTTTGTCATCTCCTGTTAGCTCTTAATAATGATGGGCTGAGGCCTAGAAGTGTCCTCTGATCAGATTTCTCCTCTTGTCACAAGGAAATAAAGGATCACTTGAGGTGATTGAGCATTTTAAAATAATGAGCTTTGAGAGACTAATCATTACAGCAGGAGGGGAAATGATACAGTTACAATGACATTCAACGGTAACACCCCCTGAGTTGGCAGAATGAACCAGCTCATCGCCAGTGTCAACTGTGAGAGGTAAGTGCTACTGTCAGATGAGGAAAGGCAGTGCAGAAAGATCACCGTTTGAGATCAGATATCTGTCTCTCTCTGCTGGTTAACAGGAGGTACAGCATACAATTTCTCCATTAAATCACTTCCTGCTCTCTCTTACGTGCACTCTGTATAAAAGGTCATGCATGTGTTATATATATTTCTGGTTACACTTTATTTGAGCTTATTTAAAAGCAATTTTCTAATAATTGTAATTATTTGGTTTGGTTTAATTGAAGGGTAAAACGTTTTATACAGCTTTTGATTTCCAGAAGAATATCCGAAAAAGAACTTCTCAATTTTAAACACAAGCAAATATTTGTTAATTATTATTTTGTTATTAAAAAACTTGATTCTCCAGGAATTAATTACCGGTAGTTAGAAGCGTACCAAGTAAACACACTTTCATTTACCCCCTTTAATTAGTACCACATATTTATCTTGGAAAATGATCAGGAAATTATAGACTTGCAATATATAGTGTTAATTTATATTTTCATTTTTAATAGTTTCTTTTTATGAAAATGAGAAAATGCAATTTCTCTGAGTTTAGATGTCCTCAAATATCATAAAATCCATTTATTCACTTTTTTCCTTAAGGCAGATTCAAGGGCACAACTCAAGAAATTGGTTTATTGTTTAAAACATTAATGATGAAACTTCAATCTATTTCATGGCCAAAAGCAGTTTGCTCGATGTAGCCTATAGTTATAAACATTATCAGAGTGTTGTACTCCCTAAGTATCTGCAACTAAACACCTTCCACACTAAATTATCTGTTTACAACTTGATCTAAATTTAAAATTCATCTTGGGGTGTTTTGTCTGATAACGCAGCTAAAACCAATTACACAAAAAACAATTGTACGCACAACGCAATCCTTCCCTCCCCAAATAAAACCAATTAACCAATCAGTCACTGTAGGCTGATTTCATTTGCTATTAAGCTTCATTTAGTGAAGGCTGCAGTATAGAGTGGCAGATAATCAGCAACACATTTGATTATCCATTGAGAGAATTATACACTCCTCAGCGTGAGGAACTAGCCGGTTTACAGAGATTATTTCTGTTATTATGGAGCTAAATGGCTCGGCCAAATGACTCAATCCGATTTAGCACTATTGGAGAGAGCGCCAGTGTTGTAAACTGCACTCACACTGTCGCATTACTCAAGTGTGGGTCTTATATTTGTGTGTGTGTACGTGTTCCTCCATGGGTCTATACTTGCAATCCAGTTTAATTGACTCATTTGCAATTTCAAGGTTAATTTCTCTTCAGGTTTGATTTTTTTAATTAACAATGGAAAAACCCAGTGTTACTTAATGTTGATTGATGCGTTGCTGGGTAGTTTTTTTAATCAAGATGTATTGAATAAACTAACAGGCAACATTTACATATATATATATATATATATATATATATATATATATATATATATATACATACATATATAAATACTGATTTGGTTCAAGTATGGGAAGTACATGGTCATTATCTTGCAGAAGTTGTCCAGGCACCAACGCCCCTGACTCATCCAAAATAGGTTTTAAGCCTCATAGAAATATATTTGGAGTTTAAGCAGTATAGAAATGTCACATTTTAAACATTTTAAAAGGTGCTATTGAGTTGCATTGTGGGAAGTGTAGGATCCAGTGTAATTAGAGCTTGACTATTCTTTGTATGTGTCTTGCAAGCCCCCCAACTTTGTTTTTTTCCAATAATAAATTGTTAGAGTAGCCCTTTGATGTAGTTATCCCATACAATTTGGGTTGCAATGTTGTGACCTTGCATTTATAGTTTTGCTTTGCATTTATTAGGGTGGAAACATGTCAAAAAACAGCTGAGGAATAACAGATAACAAATTAACCTTGATAAATAATCATCAAAAGCTTTATTACAGTGTCATCTGAGGGTGGTAAATAAATTATATTACCACAAAATTCTTCCACAATTTTTTGTATAAAACAGGTTTGTATATAAAACCTGCGTACATTAAGATGTCATTTTTCTGCCCTACGGTATGGCATAGAAAATAATTTATTAAATATAATCACTGATGTGTAGTGTTTGCAAGGATGCTACATAACTGGAAATATTTCAAAATCCTTCTTCTCAAGGATAAGGCAACTTGGTAAAGGTTCCTTTACGGTCATTGCATGACAAGTATTGGACTGCATCTAGCAAAACTGGATCAACTCTTTCATGCTGCATCCTTTCTCACAGCAAATATCAGATATTTTTCCAACAGCTCGTCTGACTCGAGAGGACAGGGGGTACCAGGAGAAGACACCCTTCTCTCCGTCAGATTCGGGAGGGATGTGGACCGTCTCCGTAGCCTGGTGCTCCTCTGCGGAGTGATCCTGGCCCCCTGTGCAGAGGACGGGGAAAGACATCTGGGATTTAGCCCTGGAAATTTATAGTATTGTGCTAAATAAATTCTTGTGGAACTCCAAATAGATTGATTGGAGTTAACTCAAACAAGACACTGTATTTGTTAAATTAACAATTTAAAAGATTCAAAAAGTTCAACAAGAAAAGTAATATTCCTTCAGCAACAACTCTTGAATCTGTCTCTAAATGTTTAAAATGTAGAAATATCTCTCAAATTGATCCACAACACAGACGGTTAAGGTAAGAAATGGCTCTCAATCAATGCACCTGATATTGGAAAATACATCACAAAGTACTTACATTGAGAGGTGTATTGATGCTGCCCAAGCTCTACGTCCGGGATACTTCTCCTCAGCCGAGAGTTACCACAGGACGACACAGCCAGACGTATCAGCTCTCTCCCACACATCTTAATCCTCTCCTGTGCATGAACCACACACACTGCAGCCACCAGCACCACCATGAGAGACAACAAACACTTAGCAGCAGACATTGTATGATTATTATTGCTCCTCGGTTGGTCAGAGTGGACGGTTAGATGAGAGGTGAGGTTGGGCACGCAGAGAGCAATGAGGACATGCGGTGAGTTATGAGGTGAGCTTGAGGGGGCTTATATAGTCAATGTGTGTTACCCGGAGCGGTGGTGTCAAAAATGCTGAGGCCACAGAGTCTTTGAAAATATGTATTCAGCCTTGGTAAAGGAAAAGCATGTCCTGATCTAGAGCTCAACGAAAGTGATGCAAAGTCTTCTCAAGGCTTAAACTCTGATTGAGATAAAAACCTGGCAATGATCTATGGTTCAGTCTTAAAAACATCAGAGGTATTAAGTGAGACATTTTGTGAATTGTTTATGCCATTAAGACTCATTGTACAGCTCTTTGGGTCACAACAGAGGTCTGAATTTGGTCATTCGTTGACAAAAGTAGATGTGAATGCTATAAACCCTGTGCTTGCAGATCTTAATGTGGTAAGGAATCTTGATGTAATTTCATTGACGTCCTCCAAACTTGTTTTTACAGTCCATGGATGGATTACTTACCAGGACAACTGGGCACAGGCCCAGAGGCCCAGAGTGTCAGGGGCCACCCAAGCTTTCACCTACAAAATGTCACTCATAGAGACAGATATCAACCAGGAAAAGACTGAAAATGACCACAAACATAAAATTAAATGGCTATGAAAAGGGGCAAAACAACCTGAAAGAGACTCAAAATGACCACAAAGAGACACAAAACAACCACAAAGAGACACACGACGACAGGTGTGTAACGACTACAAAAGAGACACAACAACAACAACAAAAAGATGCCTAACAACCATAACGCCTGTGCGTCTTGTTCCAATGTAGCAGTAGTGGTGGTGCCTTTTCGCCAAGGGCCCATTGTCCCATGTGAACTATTTCCCTTCAATATGAGTTGCTTTTGCACCTTATCTTGACACATCTTAAGGGATGGGAGCTAATTGGAACAGAGTGTTACTGGCAAAAAGATGTCAAGGTTATTGACGCAACTATTCACACACATGGTCACCTCAGGTCACACTGTAGTTGCATAAACAGCCAAACACAATTCATAATTCCAGCACTGATGAAAGAAATTAAAGGTGGCACTTTAATGTCATAAATGTACTTCTGGCAATGCTTGGCATGTTCACTTCTAATGATGATGTCCTTCACCGGTAAGCAGTGATTATTAAAGAGTAGGATAGTGAATTGAAAACTCCAGCCGTACTTGTTTATTTATCTTTACCGATACCATTACTGCTTTTATTGTCATTATTGTTCTACTACTACTACTACTCTCATTATATGAATCATTTATGTCATATGCGTTGAATGTGTTGTAACTCTGTTATGTTGTTCAGTCTGTACACATCACATCTATCACACTTCTGACCATCCTGGGAGAGGGTTGGACTTTTGTTTTTTTGCTACAGGGTTTTTTGGGGGGAGTTTTTCCTGTTTCGATGTGAGGGTCCTGGGACAGAGGATGTCGTATGTGTACAGATTTTAAAGCCCTCTGAGGCAAATTTGTGATTTGTCATTTTGGGCTAAACAAAATAAATTGAATTGAATTGAATTATTCTATTCTTGTTGAGGCTATCAAACTAAAGGAAAAATATCTACTGTGTCTATGCCTCTGGGTTACCTGTTTTGTTGTTATGTCCTCTGATACATCATTGTTTGCTGGTGAACATATTGGAGCTAAAAGGAGAATGAATACAGGTTTAGATTTGACTCCAAATAAATTCAAATGTTGCTGTGTCTGTTTGAATACCACCAACCTTCAGACAAGTTGTTGATCTTTGTCTGTTCTACAATTGTATGTGTGCATGTATCTGTGTCTGTCTGTCTGTCTGTCTGTCTGTGTGTGTGTGTGTGTGTGTGTGTGTGTGTGTGTGTGTGTGTGTGTGTGTCTGCATCAGTCCTTTGCCTGGTGTCCCTCTTGACTGCATCTATTCCTGTCCTTTCAGTCTGGCTGCGTCAAATGAGACAGCCAGAATCTCTCAGAACTCTTGAGTTTTAATTGATGCTGACGACACTATTAAACCCCTGGCATCTTTCCCATTACCTTATCCTGTAACACCATTAGACAGGCCGCATCGTCTCTGAGACGAATGAGCCAAGTATCTGTTAATAATGTCTGTTAATCTGTCTGGACTTCAAGTTCCACTTCTATCTAAAGGGAATGTGGATGGTCATGACAATAGTTATGATAATACAAGAATGCTAGGCAGACGAACAGATATTTTTATTGAGCAAGGAATACTCTTTTCCTTGAGAACATACATATATTCTTATATGTAATTATAAATCTGTGTTTTTTTAAGTTTTCCAGCCTGTTGTTTGTTTTGGGGTTATATTGTCTTGCGTTTTTATGGTCAACAAAGAAAAATAATGACACAATAAAATATTGACACATTTATGGAATTTGCACGTGAAAGATTTATTTTCTCTTATAGCATTGAGTAATAGATTGGACTCTAATTATTGAAAAGAAATACAAGTCCATGAATTGAAAATGTAATGAAATAACTAAAAATGTCTTTAAAATTAAATACATATCATAGTTATTGTGTCCTTCTTTTAGGACCTTTTCTTTTTACCATATTCATACAGTTACACATGTTAATGCACAAGAGCTGTCAAATTGCTCTTCAGATTTCAATTATTAGGGATATAAAAAAGAATGTAAACAGAAATTTGACACACTAGTGGACAAAGTGGACTGCATGCAGAACACTCGGAAAACAAGGAAGCACTAGTTATGCTATTCTGATGATCCGCCTCTGATCACATCAAACCTACAATAGTCTTTGTAAATATACAGTAATTATGTTCCATATAAGTCAAATGCTTTACAGGTCTCTGCCTTCGTAAATCAGGGGTGATCAGTGGAGGTACAGGCTGTTTCGTCATGACCAGGGACACAACACATCTTCAGTACAGTTGCAAAGGTGGTGTGAATCAGCTGGTGTTGTGTAGTAGGGGCTGGTATCAGACATGATATAAATGTGTCCACCTCTCCTTAAACCATCAGGACGGTCTTGAGAAGATCTACTACAAAAACTTTCTTCTAGAGAAAGCTGTATAAAGTAAATAGCCAACATGGCACGTAAAAATATGTTTGGATGAGATAATACATTTGCTTACTATAGCTCTCTTGTATGGTGGCCATGACAGGAGCTGGTTTAATATACTTAGCCGAAGAGCTGAACACAGCCAGCAGGACACTGCAAGGACTGTTTGACTACAGGACAGGGCCATGCTTGATCCTGACATCTACAGGAACACAGAGCTCAGTTCTTCACTCCCTGCTCGTGATCCCTTGATCATGCCAAATACTGACATGTTAGAAAGTGCCTTTGCCCATGTAACTTGCATGAAAAGCAGTGTTTTTAATTGTTCTGCTTTTACAAATTAATATGCCATCAATCAAACAGAACCTGATTGTGCACACCTGATCCGATTATCTGTGCCACCAAAATAGCCCAGTACATGATTGACTTTTGACCCTGTCTTACCAGGCAGGAGGCGCAAGCGCAAATCCCGATAATCCTTGTCAACAAAATTACACCTATATGGTCTTGATCACTACAGACATCCCCCCTGCTGTACCTCTCCTTCCACTTAGGTGCCGTCAAGAGCAGGCTGAGGGACTGTACAGCGAGAAAGCCAAAACATGAAGCATGGCACATGGAAGAGCTTTCACTGGGGAAGTTATATATTTATCAGGAGCACGTAAATCTGAGGGATTTTTATTGTATTTCCTTACATCAAAACAGTGGAAGAAAATGACTACAATTCACCATGGTGTTTAAAATGGGTGGTATTTAAAAGAAAGTCATACTGTTTGTTGAGTATCAAGAATAAACATGTAGTTATCCAAAAAACATTAATAGCACTTCCAATGAAAACAGTTCTTCAGAAGTATCACACTCATGTTAAAGTGATTGACTTTGTCTCGTTAATAATGTTGCTACTTGACCTACTTGTGTCAAACATCTATTTCCGTTTAGCCGGACTTAGTTGCGGCCGAGGACTATTCTTGGAAACAGACAACAAGCTGTCCAATATGAGAACCTTGTCCATTTGACAGAGGAGTCACCACCCATATAGCATGCAAACAGCACCTACTGTAAAGCTGAAGCTTAAAGCTTAACTCAACTTGCTGCTGCCTCCATTTTCCCCTCCCCTCGATTGTTTATCTTAAATCCCATAGGCTCAGAGTTGGAGGCAGATGGGGTCCTACAATATCCAGACCCGTGGGTAATAAAGCCATTTAGGGTGAGCGAGGTCACAGCAAGTGGGAGGCTGAATCCTCGTTCTCGTCGATAGTTTGCCTGCCACTGGGCCGATAGTGAAACTCGTCATCAGACTCCTCTGGCTGGGGTTCGAAGCAGCTGTCAAACTTGCGCCTCAGACGTTTCTTGAGCTGGAAGGTGCGCTCGGTGTTTGAAACTGTGTATTCCTGTTCCTTCAGTTTTGCGTAATAGTCAGAAAACTTGTTGAACAGGATGGAGATGGGCATTCCGTTGAGGATGATGCCGAAAGAGATGCAGCCGAACGCCACACAGCGGCCGAGATAGGAGATGGGGACGACGTCTCCATAGCCCACAGTGGAGATGCTCACCTGTAGGAAGAAAAGAGTAAAGTGAGTCAGCTTACATGCATTACTTCTACTCTACTATTTTAATCAGAAAATGCAAAAGAAAATTGCACCCCATGCTCAATCCTCCTGGGCTGTTGTTTTAGTCTTTTTTTACATTTAACATGAAGGGCTCACCCTCATGGTGCCTTTCAGTCTTCCTGAAAACAACCCCTTGGCCATGGAGAGACTAACAATTAAAAATATTTATTGTACTGATCAGTTGGTGTGTTGGAAAGTTGAGAATGAACAGGATCAAATAAACCTCCAAGAAAGCCCTGCAACACTTTCCATCTCTTGAATGCAATCACTGTGTCTGCCACAAACAAGACGCATTACATCGTATTAGAGGGGATTA